TGAAAAATTCACATTTTCACAGCAGTCAGAGCTGAGTCAAGTTTAATTTCCATCTTTGTCATCATGCATTTTTAAAAGTCTACTTCTTGGTACTATGTCTTTTGGATTGCTTTAATATCTTATAGTTTTATAAAAAAAAATCATAATTATTGGAATTGGTTATTAAATTTAAATGTTTTCTTAAATGAGTAAAACCAAATTTGGTAGATTTTCACAAAACATTTATTTAAAAAAAATAAAAATTAAAAACTACACATGACTACAATGACTAATTTACAATTCCGTGTCCAATATATATGCGAAGTAATTTAACTAAAGTAATTAAGAAAATACATCAATAACATAACAAAATAAACTGACTATTTAAAGTAAATAAGGGTACTTAAGTAATTATGATATCAATCAGATAACAATAAGATAGAATCATTACCGGGATTATCTCATAGAAAACTAGGAAAGAGATTTAATAAAAGTGAGTTATTAATATCTAATTGATCATTTAGTAGGTCATCTGAATTTTTAAATCTATTTATTTCAAGTGTTCCTAAATGGTTTAGTTTAATGCCCTTATTTTCTATATGTAAAATTTCAAAATTGTCTGTAAAAGAATGATTTTCAGCCAAAATATTATTTGAGTAAGTAGAATTATTTTTGTTTTTTGTATAGCTATTATAATGTTCGGAATAGCGCTTTTTGAAAGTACGGCCTGTTTGACCAATATACAATTTTGAACAACTACCACAATTTAATTTATATACCCCCGATTTATTATTAGGAGTAATTTTACCCTTATTGTTTTTAATATACTTCCCAAGCGAATTACTGGTTTTGAAAGCTACGTTAATATTTTGATATTTTAAATATGATGATACCTTTTCACTAGGAGCTCCTATATATTATGTAAGAGTCTTATATATATTTTTTGTTTAATAATGAGGAAAACTCGCTCAAATTATTTTGAGACATGGCTTCGAGAATTTCATTTTACTTGTATTTTGCTTCCCGGTCACATATGAGACGGCATTATTTTCTTTTCTTTTTTATTGACCCAAAACATGTTATTAATTTCTTTTGCCTGCTACACAATACACATTATTTGACAAAAATTAACTCAATTCACGGCCGCAAGAGGGATAATATCTCTGAAACGCAATTTATTTCCAAAATTACAAATAATTTGATCGATATCGCAGCAATCAACCATCATAACGGTATTTATGTTGTGCCAAACTCGCCACATTCGTTAGGTATTTTTATAGCTGTTTTTTATAGCAATTTGTAAACTATTTTTAATTATAGTTTCAGTACGTATGTATTTGACACATTTTAGAGGTTTCTATTTATTTTTTACACCATTAATCTATTTTTTTTTTCAGTCCTGTAATCGAGAAAAATGTGATATGTTTAAGGCTAATTCATTATATTAAATTACTTTCTACATTAATTCTAGCAGATAATTGAATTGATTATTTAACATTACAATATGTCAATCAATGACAATCTTTTATTATAACACGTCAATCAAAACAAACTGTTTAAATGAGAAAAACCAAAAAAAGAATTAAAATTAAAACTTCAGTGTCTAATATACAGAATGTTTCAGAAAAAAGTACCGTAAATTGGCGGACTTTTAGATCTTAACTAATTATAAAGAAAAGCTAAATATGATTTTCTTATAAACGTCTTAGTTTTCAGTCTACAGGGTGATAAAATGAATTTCATGAATACATACGGTAAAAACTTTAATTTAAAAATATTTATACAGGGTGATCAACTTATACTCCGGAGTTTGATATCTCTGTTGTTTTGAGGGACACGAACAAAAGTTTTAAATACAAATTATAGATAGAGTCCACCTCTATATTTTAAAATTATTTCGTAATATACAGGGTGTTTCATAAAGTCACGGCATACGAAAGTTGTTTTTTTAGTGGAACAGTGAATTTTGCTCGTTTTCCCTATTCCGGCAATATAAAGTTTTATCAGGTTCTACAGGGTACTTTTAAAGAAATGGCCACTTTTATGTAAAAATCTTAATGAAATGAGCAAAATTCACAATTGAGATAACGTATAGGGTGTTTTACTAAAAAAACATAACTTTGGTATGCTGCTGAGTTTAAAATGTGGAGCTGGAAAAAAAATAAATAGCCCTTCTGTGAGAAATGTAAATTTAATCAAAAAAGAAATTTAAGGATTCTGCATACTTTATTTTATTGAATATCTATATTACACGGTATACTGTGATATATTTTGTTAAAAATATATGCATATATTTATTACCTAATAAAAATATTGTGTTTCCATTTTCTGTTGCATATAATTCAAACTGGTGATTAATTATAATATTTTACCGCATAAATGGTGGTATATTTTCAATTTCACAGTTGTTTTAATAAACGAATATGATTTTAATTAGTTACACATATTTTTTTAGTTAGCAATCTGTTTTAAATTGTTAATATTTTACCATTTGTGTTATTATTTCATTATGTTTCATGCAGACCTCTACGTTCTCTACATTTGTATTATAACCCGGTCAAATTGAACCATAAATTATCGTAGGATATTAAAATTATTAACAAGGTTAAACAAAAATAACTGAATAATATATATTTCCATTTTTAATTTTATATACATTTGAATTACCGGTGAATTTTCTTGGCCTTTATGAAAAACATGAAAAAAGAAATGTTCTATAAATAAAACTATATAAAATCGCTGAAATATTAAACATGTATTAACAAAATAAATGAAAAAAATAGTTACCCAACTAGCAATGTAAATTTATAATTCTCAGTTTACAGAAACGTTATTTTGTTGTTATTATATTGTTTTGTGCTAAAATTTCGAAAAGCACTACTTTGTTATGTAAATTAGTTTCTAGAATATGCTAACAACAAAGTTCTGCAACATATCAACATTTCATAAAATTTTAACCGAAGGGTATTTAACATTTAAATCGCGCCCCCTCCTTTATGAATATTACGCTGAAAAACATAACATTCTCGTGTTACAAGTTTAAATCAAAGTTAGATTTCCCTAACCAGTTGGAACTGCTTTTAATCAATGTTTGAAAATCCTTTTAAACTTTTCCAGACTAAAGAGTAATTTGCTTTAATGTGTTTCTCATACAAAAACTTTTACTGCAAACAAATAGTCGACGCGAAAGGGCAATTGTGCTGCTTTTCTCTTTGCAGGTTATGAGCAACTACCGTGTATAATGTACGTAGAGAATTTAGTATTATCTTAGTTTTGTTTTCTAAAAGTAATCCATTAAATTATTTCATGCATCAGAACTTTAAAAGATAATTATTTAACTCAAACGTTTACAAATCCTTCTTCGCACTAACACAAATAAACATAAAAACAAGCATGTTTTTACAGTCTTACATATAATGCAATTTATTTTTAGCCAGGTAGATAATAATACTAAGTTTTGGAGAACGATTCAGTTTTATAAATGGAGGTTATTTTAAATAAACGGAGAAGGTATTTAAGATTTCAAAATTTGGTGACTGAACAAGATAAATTTAAAAGATGTCTGTTTCAACATGCAAATGTATTGTTCTCACAATCGTTCGGTGTCATAGCAGAAGGCAGTGACTGCCCGTCGTAATTTAAAAAGGGTGTTAAAAATCTAAGTGCTTCTTCTCTTTATAAAGCTTGATGTTTGCTAAAAATTTCATGTTGTTATCGCCTTTTGTTTTTCGTTTTTAATTTAGGATTTTTTTTAATATCAACCCATTTTAACCCCATATTTTTAATCAGATTTTTTTCAAAATCAATAAGCTTTGTCCTCTTATAGAGCTTGTTTTCTACTTAAAGTTTTCAAGTTGATTTATCGTGCAAACAAAAAACGTGACATCGGACAAAGTAAACCTATAATACTTACTCTTAATAGACTAAAAAAATAGGTGCAATAAAAAAAATGACAAAATCTAAGTTTTGAAAATTATTTAAGGGTAATTAGAGCCTCGGAGATAAACTGCACTCATAGTTCCGAAAAAAGAGAGCTCTCGCCTTCGGCGAAAGTTCTGAACCTTAGTCCGCACTCGAAGTCTTTTTCTTTTTGTCTCGTCTCTCTGTATAAACCCAAAATTTACGTGATAAGTTGTTAGAATGCCAAAGTTCTACCTTGAATTCCTTAGTTCAATGTAAGCCATTGACTGGAGTGATAACCTGATATCTTATTTAAAACATATATTTATGAAAAATTTATAATATCATTTCTTTTGCTCAGTCGTTCAGTGATGATTCTGTAAATCACCAGCAAACCAACTTAGCAAATATTTTTTATTGGTACCACTAACACCAGTGTTGTCGATTACACGAATGAGTTTGTATCTAAGTTCCTCAAAAGACTACGATTCAACAAGCTTAAGAAATAAAGTTTCTTCCTGATTTAAAGTTGCTATTATTTAGAATTAGAAAAAATTAAAATGTAGTTTTCAATGTTTGTAACATTTATCAACCTATACTGCTACCTAGATCATATTTATTATGCTTCTGAATTATCGCCATATTAAACAAAAGTTTATTAGTAAAACGAAAACCCTCAATGTGATGAGGTCAACTGATAACTAAAGTACAATGCTCTCACTTATCTTTTGAGGCGGCGAATCGATATTGTCATTCGAAACGTCTTCCTGGCGGCATCGCTATTTAAATTGTCTCGGAAGATTAACCGACGTGTCGTGAGACTTCTTTTCTTTCGGAGCCAGCAAGAGCAGACCGCTCCAATAACACAATGACACGTTTGATGCGTTACGAAACATGGATGTCGGTCGTCAGCGAAAAAAACGTTGGAAAGAATTTAACGTGGAAGAAATTGGGATGATATTTTTAATTTTAAAGTAGAATATTGTTCAATGCACCTTTTTCATAAATCATAAATAAAATAACATGAAGAAATTAGTCAGGAATTAATAGTTTCTGAATTTTCAAAACCAAGCAAACAAAAAAATTAAATTTCATACCTATTAACTGTAAAAATTAATTTATTTAATATTATTAATACAATAATTTTTATTATATATAGACTAATAGATATTATGCGTCTTTAAACATACACATACAAATAATTTAAAGATAGTAGCATCTTCTGAATCGTCATAAGTTCTAACGTTACATTCTTTAACAATTTCATCCATTTTAAACTTGGTTATGATATTTAAATCCATCATAGCTTCTTTTCTATTTAGTTCTCCATTGTAATCAAGCAAACCTGCTTTTTCCACCAAGCATAATATATGTTTACTGGCCTCAAAACTGGTGATTTCATGTCCTAAACTTAATTTTTTTAATGTGTCATCGCCAATAGCAGTTATACGATTTGATTGACATTCAGCGTGAGCTTTTAGAAATTGCTTTTCTCTGCTGTTCCATATCAGACCTTCTGCACAAAACATCTGAAAAGATTAAGTTATTATATAGCTAAATACATTTTTAAATGCAAATCGGAGGTATAATAGTGAGTAAAAAATTAGGACAAATATTAGGGCAATTGAACATAAATTGGAATAATTTGTGGAAAAGTTGAGATAAAAAATAACAAGAATATCTTAAAATTGGGGTAAAAGTTAATAAAAATGGGGATTATATGGAGAATGAAAAAATAGGTATAATTGGGGGTCACATTATGGAAACTATTATAATATTTTGAATGTACCTAACACATATAAACATTTTAAATTGTTGTTATGTCACTCGACTTTTTTTTAGATCTATTTGTGACTGCACCGAAAGATGGATAAAGGACTTCCGAAACATTAGTTGTGATTTTTAAATAAAAACATTAAATGATCGATCATAATAAAGAACATTTATTTATTTTAACTAGGAAACTATCTTTTTTTTAAATATTTAACTAATACTATCTCATTGTAAATGAATTCACGAAAAAACAATAAACATTTATTTATTTCGCAAATAAGGATACTTATGATTTTGTGGACGCACTGTATACTGTATTAGTAAACAAATAGTAACATTTCTCTTACAAAAAAAAAACTATTACAAACTATTACAAGAATGACAGAACAATTTTTTTTTAAATATAAACAAATATATAAAATGTTACTTACTAAGCCAAATGAGAAAACAGTAACTAACTTCATTTCCATCATGATTGGCATTAACTGAGATCTGCATTAACTGAGATTTGTATTATATATCGTCAACTTTTATACTGATATTTTACTACAAAATTAAGACCTTCTGTACCCATTCATTACATTGCCCTTTGAAACCAAAATATTATTTATTTGATCAAATTTGATTTCAAAGTGTGTACAAAGTGGTCAATCGGTTGTGGTAATTGTCTAAATTAAATATTTGTTAATTACTTATGACTACACGTTCTATCTCTTCAATTCACTATTTATTTATTGTGATATATGAAAAGTTAAGGTATTTTTTATGCACTTTAACTTATTGACAGTAGTTTGGCTTAAAAAAATCTAGAATTACTTTAAAAACGCATCGGAATTGTTATAATCCTTACTATGTAGGAACAATCAAGAAATGTCATTACTTTTTTATGAGAGAGACAGAATATTTGTGTATGGTCTAAAACCTAAAATATAACCATCAGATATTAAATTTTATTAGGCGTTTACGAGGTTTGTCAAAAATAGTACTTTACTCTTCAGCAAAATTCATATTATACCTCGTATACTGTTGTAAATATTTGATATCTAATGTTTACATTTAAGGTTTCAGATCATGCAGAACTTTTTATGAAGAATAACTTTTTTTCGTAAAGTTAATAAAAAAAGTTTCCTATGTGTTGCCAACTTAAGTGGACATAGAATAGATATACACAAAAACCTACAAAATTTCCAACAATTTTATATATAGACCGGTTAGATTTGGAAAATGGAAAGTTTAAATTTGCTTTGTTTTTTCTCGCATATTTCCAAAATTTGAAGGTTTTTTTTTTATTTTAAGTGTGTACACTTTCTGATCCACCACGTTAAAATTGTAAGCACAATTTATAAAAAAAAACTTCTTGTTATCACTCCGAAACAGGCTAATTAGCTCAAATTATTCAAATGCACATAAGCAGTGGGTAGAGATTGAAATTGTAAATACAGGTAGAAATCGATTATATGCTCTGATAAATATAATAGCCAATAGACCATATACGTGCAAACCTTGTTTAATCTGGTATATTTGAATTAAGCTTTGTTTAGTTTCATTGATAGATGCATTAAATAACTTAAGTTTGGTAATATTTGGTTTGCTCTTGGAGAATTCAGATTGAATAACATTTTCAATAAAAAGTAATCAACTTAGCAGTTGTATGTTTGTTTATGTGGAAATACTCCATTCATGATTAATTACTTTTCACATACAGTGACTGATAAAATTAGGAAGATAATTTTCCATTTCACAAGATATATAATATCAGAAACACATTTAACAAAATAAAGCTATGTACAATTTAAAGAATATAAAGTCTATAGTACTATGAATCTGTTATTAAAGAAATTTACATTAATTACGAAAGTTTTCAAAATTTGTAGGAACATATTAAACCACGGCCGATAAAACTGACGATTGTTTTATCTAATGAAATTCTAACTATTCACCTGTTATTGCATCATAAAAATTACCATTGGGAAGCAGCTATAACTACGTGATGCTTTGTTCGCGCATCAGCATTGACACCCAAAAGTCGGATATCGCACTTGCACAGAGGCGTATTCAGAATCACTCTTAAAATTATGTTTTTCAATAAATAGTTGCTGAGATTTTGTGAAAATTGGTATAACCACATTTTATTATTCATATTATTATAGGCAATTTCGTCTTTACCCTAAGAGCACGTTAGGTACGATCCTAGAACTCTGCCTGATGAAGGTTCCGAAATGTCAAAACACAGTTTCATATATTTATATCTAATTATATTCAATTTAAAAAAAATACATTACCGAAACGATGTAAAACCACGTCATCTAAGAGTCACCTAAGTGAACCCAACCTACAGCGCTGTATATACAGGGTGTATCGACTCACCTACAGTCTAATAAGTACTTACTTTCAGCTCTACTCATATATGAAAAAACTGAATATTAACAGAAAAAGTTTTTACTGTCTACACAGTCTAATTTGAAAATATTAGAAAACTTTTATATAATGTAGATACATTCACCTCAAACAACCTAAATCCAAACGTAAACAAACTTTCAAAGTACCTACAATTTTAAAATAAATAAAATTTTCGATGAATATTAAAACTTCAGTAAATGGGGCACGTTCAAAAATTTTGAAATTTTTTTTATGAATAGTAGAGTTAAAAATAAAACAACATTTTTTTTATTTTTTTTTTATCTATTCATTTGCCGGAGTTATGATTTTTTAAAAATTTATGACGTCACCGGGAATAGACCAATAGGAGCTAGCGCACAACGTTGCCGGCTAGAAGGTTTACGAGAAGTGATGTACGTTCGTTTGTGTACTCCTTCTTACTTTTAGACTTCTAAAACACCGTTAAACAAATATCTTTTAAATATATAATATCAAATGTTTTTTGAAAGTATTATTTCTGTTTAAACTTTTACCATATTTAAAGTTTCATTGTTTTAAAAGTCACTTAATAATTCAGAAAATGGCAAAATGGCAGCACTGTGTATGGCATCTGTCATCATAGTGTCTCGATCAAGAATTTATTTGGAATTTGAGTGTTTAATTTTGTACTTTTTATAAATATTATGACTACGAAAAAGTGTTTTGTTCCAGAATGTGATAATGATTCACATTCATCTTCAAAAATATTTATTAGTGTTCCTAGAAATTTGGAAAGAAGAAAATCAACCTTCTACTAGCGATGTTTCTCGTAAACTTTTTAATAAAAATACACCGGATTATCAAGATGTAGCAGCAATTTCTGCTAATTGTCCCCTTCAGGAAATTGAAAATGAGGCTACTATAAATTCTTAGGTGTATAACCTAAAAACCCTTCTGGAAGAAAATGCATAATCTCCTGAAAGTTTTGAAGATACCGAATTTATTCATCATTTTGTGGAAGAATAGTGATAAAGAAATAATAGAAAAATGTGGGTATTTAAACAAACTGGTTCCTGGATCCCATATAATGGCAGATAGGGGTTTCAGAATATTTAGCTACTTGAAAACATGGGATGCACTTTAGTAAAGCCACACCTAGTGTATCACAGAATGAAAAAAGTTCTCCAGAAGATGTACAATTAAGTAAAAGAATAGCATCTCTAAGAATACATGTGGAAAGAGTTATAAGAAGGGTTAGTTAATTTAACAAGTTAAAACCACATTCGTGTGTGAATTTTAAGCAAGTACATTTACTTAGTAATATCTGCATAATTGCTTGTTAACTTACAAGAACCTATTTTGTAAGAGTAAATATTAATTTAATAAATTTTTTTTGTTTGTTTTTTTTAATTTAATTTACCTAATTATCACATTTCAGGGATTATAATGAGTTTTTAAACAGCCAATGTAATTTTTTATAAAATTTTAACTTTTCGAACAAATCAAAGAGGAATGAGTACCTGTATATGCATAGATTTTTTTGGGACTAAAACTACCAAAACAAAGGCACCTATTTACAGCAGTTTAAAATGAAACATTTTGACAAAAACGCCTATGTCACAGTGATAAATATTAAAAACAACCAAGTTCAGTTGAATGTGGTAGCAAAGTCTATATATTCCAATAAATCGGGTAACTACATGTGGTATCACTGGTGACTGGTGATAAATTTAAAAATATCACAATTCTTGCTACCTTTTTCAAAAAACCAGAAAGTGTGCCTTCTTATCAATCCTTTATGAAAATGACAACAGTGATAAATGTGAAAAAAAAATTTAATGTTGCTATTCGTTATTACGATAGTAAAACATGTTTGCAGTTCCGTTTATTTTTTATGAAAATCTAAGTAAAAACAACCAATGTCAAAGGGTTATAATTTTTTTTCTGAACCAAATATATCACAAAATTTAAAAATTGATTATAGGTCAAGCTAAAGTAATACCTTTATTGATAGTAGCTTTAAAAAAGGAGAAAGAATAATATTGACTTAAATTATTATTATTAACATTGGTGATTTTTAATAAAAACTGTTCAATTATTCTTTACAAACAAAAATATAAAAATCTGTGAAAATTTTATTTATTAATCTTTTAATAAAAAAATGAGAAAAATGAAGTAAAAAACAATTTATTTACAAATAAAAAATATATATACAAATCCTAAGAATATAAAAGTACTGATTTATTTTCCTGTAGTGGATGAAGAGGTTTCTTTAACAATCTAGCCAAGTGTACATCAATATTTACGCATTTTGATAAATTAGAGCCTTTCCAATAACACTGAATAGATGTTACATATGGTTCCTCACTTCTTCTATGAAGCCACATATTTACAACCA